GTTGTCAAGTTTAAGTGCAAGGTGTCGTATATGTTGATAGTGCGTTGGTGTGGTAGCATTAAGTGCCATCAGCTCAGAGGCATAGCGAAACCAGGAAGAATTTGCCATTCCGGACCGGTGTAGTGTGTAAGAAGCTCGTAAAGCAATCGCTTTAGGGATAAAAACGTCCGATGTAGAGCAGAGTTTCGCCCTAGTCGTGTAATGGGGGGACTTGATATTGAATCGGATAGAACTCTTTTTATATGCACTGGAATGCGACCCAATGTACCTACTTATGCGCAATTTTTCACTCTCAAGACATTAAACCTACATCCCTCACATGACCTTAAACTTTCATCCTCCTTTCAGGCAACAAGAAAGCTGTCAAGAAGTTCAAAAAGAGCGCCAAGGCGAAGGGTCTGAAAGCCCAGAGCACCGATTTGCTAATGCAACTGGATGATGTAAGTGTTTTTTTAAATTTGTTTTTAGTGCAGACGTTCGGTATTCATTTTAGCTGTGATCTTGTACGTTAATATACAGATGTACTATGTTTAGAAAACAGATACTACAAATTTCTCATCCGATAGCGCTACAGAATCAATGTAACATAGCCACCATACACCATACATTCCCAGTGTGAACATAGTCAGGGGGTCATCCCAGTATACCTCAACTGATAGGTAGCTGTCTAAGCACTTAGTGGTCGCTGCACAACTGACATGTTGCATACCAATTGCTCACACCTCCAGTATGTCTGCTGAGTACGCCAGTCTCTGCTTGGCTTCTGAAGAACCTTCAGTGCCTTGTATCGTATCTATCACAGCCACTCCTTATCACCCCCTCCCCCGTGCACTCAGGTTATGAGCCGGAACAAGGACGTGTTTTTGGTGGTGTGTCTGCAAGAAGACTCCGAAAAAGCCATCTTCAAAAGTTTTGTAGACCCCGACCCCATCAGGAAGTCAAAGCTGATGGACGGCCGTGACATATTGCTGAATCTGGCAAAAGAGAGCCATTATCAGTTCGATACGGTTAAGAATGCAAAGGTACGTATGTGGTGATTAATGTAGGGGTCTAAAACCCTAAACCCTATAAACCTATAACCTAATGTGTGGATGGATATCCATTGTTCTGGAGATTGCTATTTATTTGGACTGTTACATTGACATTGAGATGAAATCTAAGTGTACATGTATTTACCTCCGAACAATCTGTACCTTTTTTATAGTGTGCAAATATGTGCATTGATACCAATCCGTTAAAGCGAGTACGTGTCTTGTAGTAGTTCACTTACTTTCCCCGTACTTCCCCACAACCACCCTGCCACCCCCACAGTTTGCGACTATGATGATCCTGTGGCATCTGCACCACAATGACGACGGACTGGACGTTCATGGCTTCACTTGCAATCAGTGCGACTGCCATCTGACCAGTCTTGATGCACGCTGGCATTGCTCTACGTGTGAGGTGTGTGTATATATCTTCATTTACATCTACATGTGAGGTGTGTGTATTCGGTCGGTGTATGTATATATCTTCATTTACATCTACGTGTGAGGTGTGTGTATTCGGCCGGTGTATGTATATATCTTCATTTAAATCTACGTGTGAGGTGTGCGTATGCGTATTCAGCCGGTGTATGTATATATCTTCATCTAAATCTACGAGTGAGGTGTGTGTATTCAGTCAGTGTATGTATGTCTTTATTTACATGCACACGTCACTGAATATGCTTATCTGTATCAGTGACTACGGTATATTCAATCGCTACATGTCGCGCTGGGTGTGTTTGTCTGCGAATATCTATTGTAGATGAGGTTGTTATATATATAATACGACCCCTTTTTGAATATGTCTAGCAGTACTGCACTTGCCATTCATCCAATGTACTCGGCCTGTATTAGTATACTCACTCTTCTCCGAACACCCTACTGTTTCGTAGTCCTCTCTCTCGCCCGGCTATACCCGCTAATTTGCACCTTTTTTCCACTTTAGGACTATGACGTGTGTGCCGCATGCAACAAAGCACACAAGCACGAGCACAAGCTGGAGAAGGTGCACCGCAAGATCATGTCTTCCGATAAAGTCGCCACCTTGGACAGTGTTGAACTGGTATTGGGCGATACTGCAGGAGGCCTGGCTGATATGGGTCTGGGTCTCCCCGCCGCCGAGGGTGAGGGTACCGCTTTGAGTCTCGGTCCGGAAACCGGGACGGATACTACGGGCACTGAGAAGACGGCTGATGCGGCTGCGAGTGTGAGTGTCGAAGCCAGCGGCGGTACAGTGGCGGCTGGGCCAAACGGTGCGGTGAAGAAAGCGGCGACTGAAGGCACTACGACCAAAGCCAGTAAGAAGACGAAACAGTCCAAGAACAAAGCATCCACCACCAAGACAGCCAAGGCCTCGGGCAATGCCACAACCGCTGCAGCCACTGCAGCGACTACGGCTAAAGCCGCACCACCCCCCAAGGCCGATGGTAATACAGCGCCAGCGACGGACAGCAAGGCACCGGCGAAGGTCAAGACAGAGGCTACTGTGGCCGGTGCCGCTACTGCCTCTGAGGCGACCAATACCAGCACCACCAAACCCGCAACAACCGCACCAACGGCAACCGCAACCGCAGCTCCGAACACTACCGCAAATACCACCGGAAGCACGAACGCAGCCGCAGCTGCACCCACAACCGCAACCGCAGCACCGAAGACCAAGGCGCCCATGACCGCCGCCGAGGCGCAGAAGGCGCACATAGAGCTGGTGCTGGAAGCCATGGTGCACATAGGAACGTGCGAGGACGACAAGTGTACCACGGCCAAGTGTGGGCAGCTCAAGAAAGTGGTGCAGCACACACAGGCGTGCACCATTGGGGCACCCAAGTGTCAGCTGTGCATCCAGTTTATGCAGCTGTGTCAGCTACACGCACGCTCGTGCGACAAGGAATCGTGTGCGGTTATCTACTGCGATCTGCTGAGAGCGGATCTGAAGCGCAAACAGCGCGAGATGAACCAACAACGCGCAAATGCCCAGAGCAGGCGAATGGCCATGCAGCTGCAGAGTGGCAGCACCCCGGCTATGGCGGTAAGTGTGCTAAAAGTGCCTTTACAATATATATGTATATACACACACACACTCTCTCTCACATATATTTATATATATATGTATACATATATATATATACATTTTATATATATATACATTTATTTATTTATATATATATATGTATATATATATATATATATATATATTATTTTTATTTTTATTTATTATATATATATATATATATATATATATATATATATATATATATATATATATATATTATATATATATATATATATATAGTTATATTTTCTCCTTTGTTTTCAGCTTTTGTGACGCATCGAACTGGCACCCTAGCAACACCACATATACATTTATCTAATTCAACTCTTTACTATCGGATGCGATACAGACACCAGCTGGTGTGGTCATGCGGAACCCCACACTGCCTACCGATATGACATCAGCCATGTATCAGCAACAACTGCAGGCGGCCAACAACACCGGCACATCACACCAGAACATGGGCAAGGGCGGTGGTAAGGCTGCATTGGGCGGCAAAGGCAACAATGTGGGTGGTAAGGGTGCCGCAAGACACCCACAACAACAGCCACTCCAGCATGCGAGCGCAGCTGTCATTCAGCAACAACAGGCGAATATAAACCTTCTGCGCAGCCGTATTACCGACCACGAGCTCAAGGTGCAGCAGGTGCGCAATGCTATCACCCACAACCCGGCACAGACGGCGCTGTACACACAGCAGCACCAGAAACTCACGGCCTCGCTGCAGTACCTGCAACAGGAACTGCGAAAAATCGAGCGGCTGCAGATGCAGACACGTACCGCTGCGGTCACTCAGGCCCAGGCCCAGGCACAGGCCCAGGCGGCGCAACAGCAAGGTTTACAACAGCAACAACAACAGCAGCAGCAACGACACTTCGCTCATAACCAGATGCTGATGCAGAACCGCATGACGGGCGCAGCAGACCCGCAGTACAGTGCGGCGGATATGGCGGTTGCTGGTACAGGTATGGCGGCTACACCCATCAGTGGGGCGCTGGCACAGAACCAGGTGGGAGCGGCTGAACACCATCAGAAGATCAAGAATCTGATTGTGAAGTACAACGATGTCAAGAAAGAAGCCCTGACGCTGATCTCGCGCATCGAAGAGCTCAAAAAGTACATCCAGGACGAGACCAAGAAGGAACAGGTCCAGGCCAATGGCAGGCCCAAACCCAATTCACCAGGTGCAGGGCAGGAGTCGGGCAAGGCGTTGTCCCGCACCTCCACGACTAGTGCGCTGGCCAAGAAACCCAGCGTGGACAACGGAACGAAAGCGCTGGAAGGGCTGGACAACACCACAACAGATGGCTCAGGTGCAGCACAGGCTCAAACGGCGACCGGTGGGGCGGTTGCGCAATGGGGTAGCATGGCGAATGCGAGGCAGCTGAAAGCCGAGTTGGAGAAGAAGCTGTTCAACTCGTACTGCAACATACAGCGACTCAACGACATCTTCTTGGGGATAGCGGCGAAAACTGGCCGAGAAGGACACAAGTCCTTCAGCCAAGGTCTGCGGAGTCTGGTGTCCAAGGGTGCGCAGGTACCCGAGAATGTGAAGGAGCAGCTGCGACAGCTCGGTATGCAACAAGCGGCGCAACGGGCGCAGGAAGGCACCAACCCTGCCATCACAGCACCTCCCGCTAATACAAACACAGCCAATTCAGCGGCCACACCCACACCCACACCAACCACGCCGGTGCCCACCTCGAGCGCCGTTGCACCTGGCGCACAGGGGACCTGGACCGGTAGTACAGGCGCAGCGGATTCTGCGGGTCAGACTACTGGGACATCGGCACCCAATGCGGCAGGTATGGGTGCAGAGAGTGCCGCCGGAGGTAACAGTAAGACTGCAGTGACCACTCCCAGCGTATCCAACGTATCTACTACTGGGACAGCACCAGAGAATACGGGGGCCAACACGGGTACAAAAGCTAGCATTGGTGCCAACGCCGGGGTAGGTATCACACGAACTTCAACGGGGAATGTATCGCTAGCGGGTGCGGGACAACAAGGGCAGACCCAGACACATGCACAGGCGCAGGCACCACAGCAGCAAATGCAAATGCAAATGCAAATGCAACTCGAGCAGCAGCGGCAGCAGATGATGCTACAGCAAATGCGGCAGCAGATCCGCAATCAGCCCAATCTGCAGACACCCGAGGCTCTGCATCAGGTGATTGCGAACATTGTCGCCGCCTATGCCAAGGCCCAGGCGATGGGGGACACGGGGCTGATGTCAAAGCTACAAACACGGCACACAGTATATACCAATCATCTGCAGGAGATCGTCCAGCTGCGCCAGAACCAGCAGCTACAGCAGCGGCTGTCGCAGGCAGGCACGCCTGCAAGTGCAGCGCCTGACCAGACACAGCTGCAGCAGCTGGCTGTCTCGCGTGTTCCCTCAAACACTCAGACAC